TACTTCTTTATTTAATTTTTTTAAATAATCAATATGCAAATAAAAAATTATTATTTTTTAAAGTCAATTGTTAAATTAAATTTTTAAATTTTTATTAATTTCTAATATTTTTTATTATAATCTATTTTTTAATTTATTCTATTTGTTTCAATTTTCTATTTTCTAATACAAATAGGTATAATGATTATGTCACATTTGAATATTTCAGAAAAAATAATTTTAACTAATTATTAAATTAATTAATTAATTAATTAAAATAATTATTTTAAAATATTTAAATATAATATAATCATTCTACAATTTTTTAATTAAAAATAGAAATAACTTGAATATTTAAAATAAATAGAAAATACTAAAAACTAAATTATAATGAAAAAAACATTTGCCCATTTTTAATATTAATTACTGAATTTGATATATATATATATATGTGTATACATACACATATATATATATATATATCACTTGAATTCTGAATATATTATACTCATGTAAAATATATATTTAAATTGCTTTAAAATGTAATATAAAAACCAAAAGACTAGTGCAAGATACTCTTTATCTCAATCAACAAAGAAGACTAAGTTCTTAGATTCTTTTCTTGGACTCAAAAGATTTTCACTAATAAAAATCCAAACTTGGTAATAATGATTCTATCTTATTCACATTCAAAAGCAAATTTGTACAAATCATCTACTTCCTGTTATGTTTGAATACTGTTAGTTCAAGATCATGTTAAATAAATTCGAAAGTAATTCGAATCTTACCAATCTCGTATTACAGTATCGAATTCTGCCGAAAACTGTAATACCACACAGCAAGAAACGTTAAAACACACTAATTAGATCGCGTTCGATTCTTATAATTAGTACTCCGAAAGGAAAATGCTAAAAATAGCCAAAAATCGACTCAAAAATACACTTCAAGCCTAGGAAGAAATAGAAAAGAAACCTATGGCGATGAAGTGAACACAGCATCAATGATAAATTACTGCTGCAAAGGTAGACAAAACATGATTGCAGCTATGTAAGAAAAGAAAGCAGAATCAAGATCAGCTGCCATACAAAATCTGGGTAACATACAAAACCACAAACACAATCAGAAGAGTTCTTGCCATGCGACCATTCAGAGAGCATCGACAAATTGGCAACAAAATCGTCAATTCACTTTACATATTCATATTCTACAACAAGTTCAAATTCAAACAGCCATCTTGAATGTGATAGATACAACTAAGTTAAAGCTTGATTCCGAGGCAATAGTTACATTTCTGTATTTCTAAATGAATACAGCAAAGGCCCGTGCCCTGCAAACCAAATGGTCCGCTGAGGTAAAGACTGGCGTGATTTCCCAACTCTGTTTCAGTTCATCTTTCAACAGGAAAGTGATAGTCCATTGAAAAATAGTGAGGAATGGAGACTAACACATTTAGAGCACAGTGGTTACTGCTAGCTTTGTGACAGAAACAGAGTTGCAAAGAATTTTGATCAAGAAGAAGATTTGAGTCAAGAAGAAGACTTGAGTTCTCTATTCTATGCTCTGGACCTCTAAACTCGAACCAAATTTCATAATGATTGAACAATAAGCTATCATGTGTATGCTTTCCAATATATTCGAGGCCTAAACTCGTAAGCCTCTTAGTGCACTCCTCTCCTCCCAGACGGGAACAGAACTTAATATTGTGTGAAACAAATATTCGTCCAGTATATGGTTTCAACTTATTTGCTAACCTTTCTAGCCCAACCCACACAAGCTTATCAGGCATATGGAGGAAAACAGCACTTGCATATATCAAATCATACGCTACTTCTGAACCAAACTGGCTAAAATCCATATCATCACCTTTCACTATTCGAGGACGCTTGTGTAGTAGACCTTGGGAAGGAAGCTCGTATCTTAATGCCGCCATTAGAGAAAGCTCATCCCTCTCAAGACAATGGAAGTGTTCAGGATTGAGGTAACGAATAAAATGCAATCCAACACGGAGTGTGCCACACCCAATCTCAAGAACACGCGAATTGGGTCTTAATTGGGTAGACTCTGCCAGGAACTCAAACACATCTCTCCCACCAGCCCAGGGCTCACCATAGTTACTATGGTGCTCTTCGACAAGAAGCTCACCAGGGCATGGGAGGGCTGTATGGTTGTTTGATTCGGGTCCTTCATAGTGTGATATGCCCTTGAACCTGGAAATCATCCAAACATTAACCACAATCAGAATCTTTCACCCACCAAGTGGTAAATCATTCCCCATACAAACTTAAATTCCATCTAAAAATTTCCAGCCAGAGAAATTACATTATAAGATAAGGGAAGGGAACATAATGGTAGAAGTTACAGGGAAACAGCTCATACAAGCAAAACCTAGGTTCCCAACTATGAAAAAATCTAACACTTTCTAATCTCTTTTTATCTCTCTCATACAAATAAATGAACAGTTTCCGGCTTTAATTGCTGTCTTCATCGTCTTCTCAAACAATAACTAAAACTCAAATTTCAGCATTTATGGTGCTTATCATTATATCATACTCCTGGATATAGATATAGATACCTATATAAGTAGTAGCACAAATCTACAGTGCAGTTAACTAATCAAATTAAACAACAAGCACAATTTTCCAAGCTCTTAATCTACAATTTGCAACACCAAAATCCATAAAGAAAATAATTGTCCCGAAAACAAAAACACGTTCGACTGATCTATATATATGTAAAAGGAGAGACAGAGAGAGA